CCTTCAAAAACCGTATTTTTTTTACCAAGAAGATGGCCGCTGAAGGATTAGTTTAGATGGCGATCGGAAAGAGCTAAGTCAGGGCTACACGAAGACTGTGGTGGAATTCCCCAGCTAAACTTCAGGATCTCGAGCAGTGTCATTTTCGAAACGTGTGACCCCTGAGCTGTGGAGTAGGCAAACATTGCTCGGCTAAAGGGAGCAAATGATGGGGATGTTCATCCCCTCTTTGCAGTAGATTACAATAGGTTACCATAGCGCTGAGAAGAAGAAATTCCTCTAAGGAAGAGAGAAAGAAACCCCACCACATACACAGTCTCACCGCCCTACTGGATTGATAGGATTGCGCGATCGGTTCTGCCCTTTCTGGGGGAGCTCGTCTTCCAGAAGTGATTCACCTAGAGACACCTACTCCATATCCAGTTACAACGCTGTTCGAACATTCCAAAAGGAGGGAGCGGGAGAGAATTTGTATGGTGATTGATTTGATAATTATATATTACTTAGTAACTAACAATGTAACTAAGTAACTGACTAATAAAATAACCAAATAATTATATATTAATTAGTAACTCACATTTCTCATCAAGATGTTGGATGCAATGCTGTGCAAAAGCCGTGGTCTGGTTCCCAAGGAATGGGATTGCGAGTTCTGAAAAAAAACACTTAGAGAGTTTATCATCAGTTCACTGGAAAGCGTGCGAACAAAAGGTACCATGCACGGAACCATTGTGAGCAAATTTCACTGTTACAAAATCGCTGAGCATTTTGTTGGAAGGAAGAGTGCACAGATTGCCTGCGGCAGAGCTCTCCACAATCTGTAGTGCCGTACCGCTATCGAATTCCATCATAAATAATCTTTCACGATTGATTGGTTTTCCCTGATAGACCAACTTGGGGAAACGCTGAAAAAAAGTTGTAATTTTGAAAAAGGATCTAATAATAAAAGAGGACTAACTAAAGTGAAGAGGTTTCTGGAAATCGTTCCGGACACTGACGGGAATAATTTCGTCTCCGCATGAGTACACTGGAAAGTTAACAGCTTGCCTGACAGTTGTGAGGTTGAGCTCGTGGAACACTCCGAGTTTTTGCTCATTTTCCTAAAACCAGTGTATCCTCTTCAGAGAGCAACCCCAAGAGGCACAGAAAACTTCTACACTGGTGAGAGCATTCATGGCCTCAGTAACGTTGACTGGGATGTAGTCCGTGAGCAGCACCATCTGTTTCTTCAGCATTACCGTTGACGGATACTGGTTGTCGTTCTCAATCTGAACTGTTCGTTCCATAATGGAAAAGGAGGAGACGTCATAAAGGACACCTACGATGTCGGAGAAGCTTTTGATGACAGCACTTAATGGAGCCCCTGGGTCGTCGTATTGTTGGAAAGCGGTGCTAGTCGTCTTGGCACTGTTCCAAAACTTCTGCATCTGCTTCACCGTCTTCGATCCACGACTCAACTTCATTCTCTATTGAGTCCGTTTGGATCGTGATGGAAATGTTCGTCCCGAAATTGAACCTGTATTTGATTGCCTCTCGAACGGGCATCACCTGAAATCTGTATTTTGAACTTCTGGAAGGGTTCGGAACTTTTTTTTATTTCTTATGTCTTTTGGTCTGCTTTCGCTGCATCAAGGAGATATCTTTGTCGGCGCAATTTCTTTCTAAATTCAGAGTTTAGTTTAAAAAGTACTGTCCCATTGCAACATTTGCGACTTCAAGTTAAGGTGGTGGCACAGGTGACTGGCAGATCGGCCCGTATGTGAAAGTTTGTGGACAGGTTGAACTGTTCTCACCGTCAGAGTTACAAGGGTCTCGTGAAATT